CCTGGCTAGGGTGCTGATCAACTGAACGCTGTCTCCGTGTCATTCCTTCTTCGTGGACTCCATCCACACCTTTGGGAACCCCTGGACCTGCTGGGGTTGGACCCCAACAGGACAGGGAGGGGGCACTGGGAAAGGGAGGCGACTGTTATTGGGTATGGGTTTCTTTTGGAAGTATTGCTAAGGTTCTACAATTGGCTCCTCTGAGGGGGCGTGGCTAGGCCCTGGGGGCGTGACTCTCTGGGCGGGACTAGCCAGCTTAAAGCCAGGCTGAGGCTCTGGGGCCCACATTGTGATGGCTATTACTCCTGGAGGCATGGAGGAGTGCGCTTGCCTCTGGGTCATTGGATCTTTGCAGGGATGTCGGTGTCCTCAGAAGCGCCAGCGCCCAGCTGAGAGGACAGGGGCCGATGGCAAGCGGTGTCGTCAGGAGTGCCAGGGCCCAGCTGAGAGGGCAGCAGCCTATGGCAAGCCGGCCCCGGCCCCTGCAGAAAAGCACATGGAGGCTGACAGGGCAGTGGGGTGCTGTGCGGGGAGTGAAGGAATGGCTAATCCCATACCGCCCTCGCCGCCTCCACATGGCTTACTGCAGGACCTGCCGGTGGAGATGCTGGTGGAGATCTTCTCCTCGCTCCCCGGCACCGATCTGCCCAACCTGGCCCTGGCCTGCACCAAATTCCACCACATCCTGCAAACCGACAGCATCTGGAGACAGCGCTGCCGCGAGGAGTTTGGCCTTTGTGAAAACTTGCAGAATCTGGAGACAATAAGTATGTCTTATCGAGAAGTCTATGCGAAGCTGTTCCACCCATACAGACACATTTTGGGATTGTGGCAGCTAGATACTGAGGGCTATAGAACACTGCTGAATGTCGTGGTGGACGGCTTATGCATTACTGGTTGGAAAAATGGGCCTTGGCTTAACACCGATGTGGATGGCTCAATGCAATTCAAGCCCGCGTTCAGAATTCGCCTGACGGAGAGGACATCAGCCACGGTGGAGTGCATGGAAGGCCGCCACTGCAGGCCTCACAACCGCCACGTGCAGATTCAGAAGGACAGGTTCACCACCCAGTGCAACAAAACAGACCACCTAAAGGATTTACCGACGTGGCTTATGGATGAATGGGGTCAGTTGCTCATTCATGAGGACAGACAGCAGTATGACTGCCTGACCTACCGCCGCCTCTACCTCCCGCCGAGCCACCCGGATGATGACCTCATCAGGCCAGGCCTCTTCCAAGCCAACTGCAATGTCTTCGGCCTATCGATTGCCATGCTCAGCTTCCATGGGAAGTATGCCAGGCTCACGAAGGTCACGGGAGACTCCAACCCCAGTTTAGAGGTCCACCTCATGCGCCGCATCCAGCTGCCAAATGGCGAGATGTTCAGCAACTTCAATGAGCTCTCCCGCGTGGTCCAGGAGATTGACGAGCAGGTGATCCGGGAGCAGGAGCAGCAGCAGCAGCAAGAAGACGGGACTGAGGAAAGCGAGGGCCATGGCTGGCAGGGCCCTGCCCAGCAAAGTGTCAGAGAGTCCAGGGCTGCAGCTTCGGAGGAGCAGCCTGTTCCATTTTTTCTGCCTGTGGGGGTGCTCTCAGTAGACCAGAATTACCCGCGAACCTGCAGGATGTGTTTCTATGCTGTGGACACTGTTACTTTTACTGTTTCCTTACATGGCTTCGCCTGCACAGGGCGCTTCCCTGGAGTCTTCATCCTGTTCGATGAGAAAACAGACCACCTAAAGGATTTACCGACGTGGCTTATGGATGAATGGGGTCAGTTGCTCATTCATGAGGACAGACAGCAGTATGACTGCCTGCCCTACCGCCGCCTCTACCTCCCGCCGAGCCACCCTGATGACCTCGTCAGGCCAGGCCTCTTCCAAGCCAACTGCAATGTCTTCGGCCTATCGATTGCCATGCTCAGCTTCCATGGGAAGTATGCCAGGCTCACGAAGGTCACGGGAGACTCCAACCCCAGTTTAGAGGTCCACCTCATGCGCCGCATCCAGCTGCCAAATGGCGAGATGTTCAGCAACTTCAATGAGCTCTCCCGCGTGGTCCAGGAGATTGACGAGCAGGTGATCCGGGAGCAGGAGCAGCAGCAGCAGCAAGAAGACGGGACTGAGGAAAGCGAGGGCCATGGCTGGCAGGGCCCTGCCCAGCAAAGTGTCAGAGAGTCCAGGGCTGCAGCTTCGGAGGAGCAGCCTGTTCCATTTTTTCTGCCTGTGGGGGTGCTCTCAGTAGACCAGAATTACCCGCGAACCTGCAGGATGTGTTTCTATGCCGTGGACACTGTTACTTTTACTGTTTCCTTACATGGCTTCGCCTGCACAGGGCGCTTCCCTGGAGTCTTCATCCTGTTCGATGAGAACCACTTCGGGTTCATCTGGCAGGAGGTGAATTACTTCATCCTGTTCAGCAGAGTCCAGAACACCTTCCAGAATGTGGAGGCACCATCCCCGCAGGCCTTCCTGGAGATGCTCAAGAATATCCAGTCCTGACCCCCTGGGAGGAAGAGCTTGCATGAACTTTGAAGATTTGACCTTCTGACCAGGTTACCCACCTTGGTTTGTTTTTTTAATCCTCAGTCAAGGATATTTTCCCATTGATGTTTAGAGAGAGTGGGGGAGAGAGGGAAAGACAGAAATATCAATGAGAGAGAAACACATCAGTTGGTTGCCTTCTGCCCAAGCACGGACCAGGGCCAGGCTGGGTAGGAGCCAGCAACTGAGGTAGAAATAAACCTTAGACCAGGGGTCTCAACCTTCCTAATGCTGCGACCCTATAATACAGTTCCTGATATTGTGGTGACCCCCAATTTCATTGTTACAAATTGAACATAATTAAAGCATAGTTTTTAATCACAAAAAAAAACAAAAAAATAAACAAAATTTAGAGTACCCAAGGTCTATAGTCATATTTATAAAACCTTGACTCATATAAAATGACCTTGAAAACTTTGATAAAATGTAAATGCCCTCCAATGAATGAACTGCAATTTTTACGTAAGTTTTTCTCTAAATGTTCTTCCCAATAACTGAATTTTGATCCATAATGTGGAGTTGTGAATTCGAGAGTTCATTTAGGAGCGAGAGCAGATATGCTGTTCTCTCTGTGGTGTCATGAGTGTTGTGTATTGCATCAGTCTTTCCAGCCTTCAATGAGCACAAGAATCATCTGAGGCTTTTGTTCCCCTGCAAATTTGGAAGCTCTCAGATTCCCTGCTACCGGAAAATGACAGGGCATTTCTTACTTGGTGGTGGCTGAAATAGTTGGGGGATTCAAGACAAGCTACAGAACCCAACCACAATCAAGGATTTATCCATCTGCCAAAGAGAAACACACACACACACACACACACACACACACACACACACACACACTTCTTTGGCCATACAGTATTGTTTTATTTCTGTATGACTGCGAAGCCTCCTCTAGAATATGGTGGGTTGAGATAATGAAGCTAAAATTCAACGTGTTGGGTTAATTAAGCCTTTTTAATGCGTCTGAAAGAGATCTGCTTTCTGAAATACATCCCCCTACAGACTTGTCTGTTATTGTTGTGGCCCTAACAAGACATTTAGACTGAAAAAGGTGAATGGGCCACACTTTTCTGTCCATCTAAGGGAGTCCTGTGCCCAATTCCTCAGCTTATGAGAACGGAAATCTATTTCTTCTCATTGGAATTCAGGTCCTTGCTAACTTGTATGTGATTTGCCTTAACATGCTCATAACCTGCTGTCAAAGTGGGGGCTACCTGTTTGGCTGTCTGGCCACATTTTTAAGATCTTTTAACCTTTATTTGTTCTGTCAAGTTAGTTATTTCTGGGGAACTAAATGCTAAGATTGGCAACAGTTCTAGTGGGACGTGCCCTGGAGCCAGTGAGAAATGAAAGAATTGCTTTCTGTAGGGATGTAGAACAAGGCTGGAACCTGAGGGGAACTTTCTGCATATTTCTAACATGGGAGCCAACACCACCGACTGAACAATAGTTTGCCCTGCTGCCTTAGGTTGGCTATTCTGAAGTTGGAGAAAAATAATCCTGTTTGTCATACTTTAGCCTTCAGCATAGACTTTCTGGAACCATTTTCTACCCCTCGCTCCCTTCTGACATTAAGGATCTGAAAGAGAATGAGAGGAAGAAAAAAACTTTCATATCTTATTAAGCTTCTTTAGTTATCCAAGGATATTTTATCATGTTATGCTCTACACAGGTTTTCTTTCTTCAGGGAACTTTTTGTGAACATTTTTAATGTAAAATGCATGTTTTTATACAATTTGTTGCTAATATTTCTTTTTAAAAGGTTCCTAATGATATCCATTCAAAAATGAAAATTCGCCTTGTAAAGTTTGTTCGTTTGGGGGCTTCAGTTTTGTTTCGTTGGTTTTAGCCTTAAATGGATTATTACACAGAACTCTATTATGTAACTTCCCTGGCAGGAAGGGGGGTGTGGGAGAGATTTGGGGCACCATCCCGTGTGCTCTTCTTGGCCTTCCCACCCGGAGGGCAACCTCCATGCTGGTTCTTCTCTGCACCCTCCCCCAAAGGCTCTGCGGAACACAGTTCAATGCCATTGCCCTGATGCGTGTAGGAAATTATTCTGTCTGCCAAGCTCATTTTGGCATGGGGTTACAGGAACACTTCTCTTGGTGAAGTAGATGAACTAGTATTGTTACATGTGAGTTGCAATAACTCAGTGAGCAAAAGGTGGTTCCAGAATATGTCATTTGTGAAGTTGGTCAGTTTATGCATTTGGCACATTGCAAGCTAATGAAAATTGCCCACCAAACTATGGGAGAAATAATCAATGAGGAATGTTTATTGCAATGACACAATGTAAAGAAACACATTAAGGCAAGCTATTTCTCACATTTCCATTCTTTCAAAATGCATTGCTTTATCATGCTTTATTCTTGTTTCTACAGAAACTGATTCGTACTTGCAAAATAATAAATAGTCATCTCATCTGGATTTTTAAAGGTGACTGGTTTGTAAAATCAATAACTGTCTTTTGCCAGCTCGTGGACTGACATGATTGCCTTCATTTTCAAACATAAAACGACTGCATTAAAATAACATTAAGAGAGAAACATCCGCTGACAGAGGAAGAGAAATTCTTAAATGAAAACTGTTCCATCCAGCTTTAATCAGTTCCTATCATGCTTTTTATTATAGTGCAAATGGGCTCTATTAAGAGGAAAGCCAATTCTGGATGATGATGCAAATAATTATAGCTGCCTTTGGCCTCTAGTTAGTGTTATTAACTAATGGTTTAAAAATATGAGATTTATTTTAGAAAAAACATTTTCCTTTAACAAAGAATCAGAAAATTGCACTTTGTCTAATATTAAATATGCAGATAAAAACTGAAAAAAAATAGTCTATTTTTTGGATATTTAAAAAACTTAGAACAATTGACTAAATTACTTCATATGGATACATTTAAAGTTCATTAGTTTGGCAATTCCCAAACGAGTTTCAGTTCTGTGTTCCATTAAGTGTGAGAAATTTTGCAGACAAGAGTTCCCAATTATCTGTGGAGTTCCAAGAACTCCAGGGGATGCCTGACACCCTCGACAGTGGCCTGTATATACATACTATGATTTTTCCTATGCATATATGCCTCGAATAAAGTTTAATTTATAAATTAGGCACAGAGGTTAACAACGGTAACTAGTAAAATAGAATAATTATTAAAAAATGCTGTAATAAAAAATTTGTGAATGGCTTTGGGACCGTTATTAAGTAAAATAAAGGTTACTGAAACACAAGCACCGCGATACCACAACAATCAATCTGACAACTGAGACAGCTACTAAGTGACTAAGAGACAGGTAGCGCATACAGTGTGATACACTGGACCAACGGACGATTCACATCCCCGGTGGGATAGAGTGCAATGACATGAGATGTTATCATGCTATTCAGAATGGTACGCAATTTAAAACTTACGAACTGTTTATATCTGGAATTTTCCATTTAATATTTTTGGACCATGGTTGACCACAGGTAACTGAAACCGTGGCAAGTTAAACCACAGATATTTACCATGCCCCTTTCATCATTTGAGATTTTAATGTATATTTGCACATTAAAAGACCTCAGAAATTTCACAGTAAAAGTCTATGTCTATCTTGCTTGTCTTCTGTCTTTTATCTAATTCATTTAAGCCTGGAACCATTTTAAAAAGATATAGGTTAATATTCTGTGTCACAACAACCTATGGAATTTTGAGAAATTCCTAATGAATGTATAATCTGAGCCTGTATTTTATCAAAGAGCAATGTATCCCATCAAATACTCAGCCACTCTTTCATAAAATTGCAACTATAGAATCAGAACTTTTAACTGTTTTAAAACAATTTAAAAGTAAAAATTATCTTTAAAAAGTCTTGATCATTGAAACATACCTCTTGAAATACATAATTTTTCACTCTTTTAAGTTCTAATGAGATTCAAATTGATTTGTGCTCAATGCTACATTTCTTAGCATTGATATAATACATTGATTTAACTCCTTTAGCTTTTATGTACTTCTGTTATTTCATACGTCACAGAAATTGCACTTCTTTTGCCTTCCCAATAGAAGCTATGAAAGTGTGCTAATGAGTTGTCCCTTCAAGGAAAAGCTTGCTTAGCTGTAAGGAGTGTAGTGAGCTGACAGCTACAGCTGTCACACCTTCAGGATCTGCCTGAGCTTTCATACCAAAGCCATGCTTTCCCTGGGCAGCACCTAAGGACCTCGCTCTGCAGGGCTTCTGCGGCCTGGCCATTCTGCCACTGCCGGACTCCTCTAACAGGCTATGTGTGCCCGGGAGCTCCCCAGTGTGTAACCCAAGATTTTGTCAGACCTGCATCATGACTTGAAACTTCTCCCTGCCCAGTCCTGCTTCTTCCTCCTTCTGTTACCCACAGGCATTACTTCCAAAAAACCTTTCACACTCCTGTCTCATCTGTTTCCAAAAAGAACCTCCTGACATGACCCTCCCCTAACAGTCTCCAAGATACGTTAGAGACAAGGCCATTTCTTCACCATTGCATCTTAAATATCTATTATACAGGATTAAATAATAAGC